TACGTTTTAATAACAAAGATACAATTTGTAGCCCAACAGCGGATATGTCAATGAATATTCATATATAATAAAATGTAACCAAGTGTTGAAATTATTACGAAAACAGTCTCTAATTGAAATTAGTAACAAATCAAACATTCAGTCAATCTATTTTTTTTTTACTTGTACTGCTATTGGACGTCATCAGACTGACTGATGGTCGTATCGGTTATACGTTTATTTACATTTACGTAAACACTTAATCAATAAATAATTTATCGCTAAGTGTTATGTAATGTTTATAAAAGTTCCACATACACCTAATTGCTTTGCAGTGTTCCTATGATAATTTCATCCTATATTGGTCACCGTTTCATTCAGTGTTCTTGAAATTGTCTGTTTGTAACGTAAAAATTAAAATTGTATTCTTTTTTTAATATTTATCTCTTATTTTTTATTTTGTTATGTTTCTTTTTACATTTTCTTAACAAAATATGTTGCTATCCACTGCTTGGTTTCTACCGCTTTTCCTTAATCTTCACAAACAATGTAGATTACATATAATCATAGATAAAAGAATAATATTTCCTACTTGTGTTCTTTCTTTATATGTTCTTCGAAAATGAATTTCATAGATACCAATGGATACGAAAGATTTGGTTCCTTTGGGACATGCATAGACTGCCGTGAATCGGTCTGCGCATGCGCACCGGATGTTGTATTTTCGACACCGGCGCGTCACACTGCGATAAATTACGCCGCATTCTTACTTGGTTATTACTGGACTCACTTGCATTCTTATGTTTAGATACATACGTCTCCCCAGCATTCAGAAGTCATTAGCATATTGCATTACAATCTAGCATTTGCCATATATCGCATTGGCGTACTGTCAAATATGAAAAATCTATTTAGATTGTATTTTATTTTGTCGTTTTTTTAACCACCTTCTACTAAGGAATGCTATTATATGAATTGTTGATTTAATTTTAGGGAAGAGTTTAAGATTTTTTTATTAAACATATTATATATACCTAAGTTAGTCTTTCTAGAATTTTGTACGTTTTACGAAACTGGTACCTTGGGGGAAAGGGATTGTTGGTAATGGGGTCTAACTGCTCCATTGCTAGTAATATACCCTTCAAATCGACCTCCACACGGTTCCCCCTGAAACCATCGTGGTTAATTCTAGTGGAATTCGTCACGATGGGATAACTCACATGTTTTCATCAGTGGGAAGGGATTGTTAATAATGGGGATTATCAGTCCCATTGCTAATAGTAGACTCTGTCCTGTCAACCTCTTCGCGGTTCCCCCCTAGAAACCATTGTAATTAATTCTAGGTAAATTCATCATGAAGGGCTAACTGACCTGCCTTTTCATCCTCACATATCGTCCTTCATTGGTACGCCGTCAGCGTATACCGATAGCGCTGGCGAGGTTATCATTCCATTATCCTCCATTAAAAAAAAAGACTTGGTTTCATCCTTTCCTGTCATCTCTCACTGGTGCCCATTTAGAGTATACCGATAGCTCAGGCAGGGTTACAATTCCATTATCACCCATTAAAAAAATAATCTGGTACCTACTCATTTTGAGATAGAAGTTTCATTAAACTATCTAATTATATTTAAACATGTAGAAACATCTGTTTCTACATGTGTAAATATAGGAATGAATTGAAATTACGAGTATTCAATATATTTTGGATGGGGTATTCTACTAGTGAAACTGAAGATTTAAAAAAAATACGATTTAAAAAAGGTAAAAAATTTAAGATTTTCCATACTAATTATTTCCATAATAATTGTCAATTGGATCCGTAATATGGTTATAGAGTAACATTTTTTTTTTTCATCTTTTCTTCAGATAGTAGAATTTCACATTTAAAATTCACTAGCAGAAAACTTCTTTATTAATTTGTGATTTGGTTTGGTGTTATATGGATTTATATTTAATAGTATTTATATGTATTTTCTAAATTTCAAAATATTTCAATGTTGATGTTTAGAGAATAAATTATAATCATTAGCATTCTTAATATAAATGTATTTTCAATATGATTAAATTACATTTGATAATGCTGTAAAATAGATTTCAATAAATTTTCTGTGCACATGATTCGAATCTAAAGGTTAAGGAGTCATATTGAACTTTGGTATACAAGACGGTAAGTCATCGGCGTTGGTCGTGCCTTCTAAATTGTGAGATGTCGACGTTATTTTGCAGTACACAAACATCTCGTATATTTATCTGTATTAGCATTATGACATTCTAATATCTAATAAAAATATATTTTAATAATTTTATAATGTGGGTTTTATTTATTCAGTTTTATTATTAAAGGAACAAATCATTTACCGTAGACTTTACTGTATTTACATTAACATTTCTGTAATTAATAACTCAAAAAAAAAAGAGATAAGCATGTCTTGGAGTTCCCTAACATCTATCTCCTTTAAACATACACATACATATATATCTGTCACGCCTGTCTTCCATTAGGGTAGGCAGAAACAATGGAACACCAAATGCTTCGATTCAAACAAATCACTTTCGCTTCTTCCACATTCATCAATCTTTTCATACACGCTCGCCGGTTATGGGTACTTTTAATTTGGCCCTTCTTCAGCACGTCACCTATTTGGTCGATATACGTCCGTCTAGGGCGGCCCCTACCGACACATAAACATAAATTAATATACCTATCCACTATTGGGTTATAGGAATTGATATTATTGTGTGGTAAGAGTAGTTTTCATTTAAGATCCTAGTTTGAAATGGGCAATGAGACTACTAAAACGCCTAAATAAAAACACTTGGCGACTGAAACAAAGTGCAATTATTTACTCTTCAGCCCTAAGAGGTCTCCTTCGACATTACTGGACAAAAGCTTTACGTTCGAAGGACACGCAACGCCGTCGTAATGTAGGGAGCTTTGTCAATATAGAAGAAACCTTATCTTAGAAATGAAGAGTAAATATATGCATTTTTAGTAAATATTATTCTAATGATACAAATATGAATTAGAAACATTCAGTAGTTTAGGCAGAGATTTAATCTTAGGATCTCTGGCCCGCATTAACGTGAGCAATCGTATTGTATTTCATTTTAACTGACTTTAAAGGAGAAAGAGGTTCTATTTTTTTTGTGCTTGTTACCGCAAAACACTTTCGTTTATAAACTGATTTGGAAAATTATTTCTTTATCAGAAAGTTTTCTTTTAGATTAGTTTCATAGAAATTTTATCAAAACGGGTTCAGTAGTTTAGTTTTTAAATAAAAATAATGGGTTTTGTACTGATTGAAGTCGGTATTTTTTTGTAGAAAAACAACTCACGACGTCATCAATACAATCCACGCGTGGATTCAGGTGGGAATATTTATTATTGATTGATGGCGGCAGACTGTAACAGCGACTACAGACAAGCAGAGAGTATACATTTACATAAGCATATATTTTATCTTTATTTCTATCCAGCATAGAAAAGACATGGCAAAGAAGCTGTTTGCCCATCATATCAGCCATTAACTGTCTACTGCTGAAAATAGGTTTCTCACTCTTGAAGGCTTTTGCCAGTAGTTGCCACGTTTGGCAGACGAACTGGCAAACGTAGTAACATGTAAAACAAGAATGCTTATGCGTAACAAGTATGCTATGGTGATGCTTTAAAAGAGAGGCTGCTGCTCATCCCTTGTTTATTTAGTTCCCTTAATCGCCTCTTACGATATCCAAGGGAAAGGAGGGGGTAACTCATCATATGCTGCGACCATATGGTAATCCCGGCATATAATACAGCTGCCGGGTCGACAGTACCATGGAGATTACAAAATGCACTGTGATGCTTACGATGTCTCTCGTATGTTGCCATTTCTGAGGACTAAAATATTATGACTTGGGACTGTAATTTCACTATTATTTTTCATTCTAATAATCCAACACATTACAAGCAGAGCTGTTTGGCAGCACAAACATTTGTCTTCGACTTTTATCACTCTGTTAAAATTTCTTTTTTCTCTCTTCTTCAATTCTATAAATTAATTTATTCTTGTACACCGGTTAAGTTAATCTAGGGTTTGCAATCCCGTATTCTAGTGATTTCCCGCATGTCATTGGGACTTGCAGAATTTCCGCATTTTTGCATTAAATTCCGCGTGGAAAATTTTGAACAATTTAATAGCAAGAAGTAAATTAAGTAAATATAAACACTGTGTATCCAATGTGTATCCTAATAACATGATAAATACAAAAGTTTGTAAAGATGGATGGAGGCGGTAGATGTATGTGTTATTCTTTCATCCAAAAACTAGTAATTGGATTTGAATGAAATTAGTTACACGGCTAGCTGATATCCTCACTTAACATATAAGATACTTTGTATATTGATTGTACTCGGGTGAAACTGCGAAATACAGCTAGTAAGTTATAAAAATAATATGTTACTGATGTTCTAAACATAGTTTTTAAAGTGTATAATGCTTATTATTTGTTATTTTTTAAATACTAAGAATGATTATGTTTATTTTGTTTAATTATTAATATTTAACAATATAATAATTTTTAGTAACTTTTTTAACCCATTACATTAAGTACTACAGCAAAAAATTATACTTATATAGTAAATAAATATAAAAATGGATTTTATATTATTTTTATATTTATTAATTGATTGGTTTAAGAATAATTCAAAAATAATATTAATTCATACTTTCTAAAAGTTAACAATTGAATTTATAAGATAGTGGAAATTACTTTTAATACAATAACAGCTATAAAAATGGCAAATTTAATTCGAATTTTGAAAAATTTAACACTTAGTACGAGTTAAATCTCTTGTAGAAATTACAGCAAGATCCCGATGTATATGTAAATTTACCGCAAATTTGCAGCTGGAAAGAAAAGAGCGCGGGATTGCAAACTCTAACCTATACTTGTCTTGATATAAATGATAATGGATATAAATATATTGATGACGAATATATTTATCTTGTTGTAACACATTTAATAAATAAAAATACAAATGCACATTCAACATTTATTTTATATTTAACATGAATTGAATATATAATCCCACTTTATACCTAGTAACTGTTACACTCGACATTTCGTCAATTGTACGTTTCTATATACATCGATATATTAATTTATTATCCCCTCCTACTTATAAATGATAAATAAATATAATTTGTCGCTAATTAACAAGTAGCGTCATTTTTATAAGTAAGAGGGCAGATCGTGAACACTGAATTAATATGTATCTAGTAAATGCCATCATATGTTAATGTTTTAAGGTCTATAAATTGTTTGAAAAATAGATACATCTCTGTACTCATATGTATGTATATTAGAGTTTATGTTTTCTACAATACACTTACATTGAACACTGACTACGTCAATTTGACAATCATTTAAATTTTATTTATATAAATATGTCCGTTTAAGTTATATAATATATCTTTACATATTATGCAACTTAAAATGATACTATATAATTATTATATTTTACATATACACTATAACTATTTAATTTTATTTTAACAACAAAGAAGACATCATATTATATTTACTGACAAAAAGAACAATTAAGAAAATATTATAATAAGAATCATTCATATTCTGCAAAGGTTATTTTGTCAAAATTGTCAATTAATCATTTTAACAGAAAGAGGGATGATGGTTTATGTTTTGTTTGTCATATATAACACAAAAAATATTATGGAAACCATTGTCACATGCTACTATACATTATTAAACATAGTACGTTCACAAAAAATACTATACGATACGATTATAATTATGATTGACAATAACGATGTCAATGTAACATTTATTATGGTAATTAAAGCTTTGCTACCAATTTTTCATCTTACATTTCCTATGCTAAATTACATTTCGAACGAAGGAACGTAAATTAAAAGAAAATAAACTCTTATATACCTACATTATATGTACGAGAGGGTATTACTCGCAATATTGTTTTAATTACGAAGCGTAGTAATTATTTAATATAACGGAGTAAAGTTTAATTCAAATTAATATTTTAATGCTTTTCGCTAGCACATTTTCTTAAACAACTGATATATCGATTCCTTTGAACACATTATTTGAAACATTAATCACATTTCAAGTATATTTTTTTATTAGGAATATAAATTTATCCGAAATATATTTCTATTAACAGTAGGTAATTCATAGTTGACTCACTAACCTTTGGAACGATAGAAATTAATATCATTTTCCAAAAGAAAATTAAATATATTATAACTAGCCCCGTAGAAAGTGGTGAACGATGGAATCCATCGATGGATTTCATCGTTATCTCTAGCAAGTCCAATAGATTCATTTGTCACACGTTAAGGGCACCTAATATATTTTCGATAGATATGAGAAGAATAAAATCAAATGCGCTCTACGTTAAGCAACAAAATAATCTGTTTTTTACTACATTATTGTGGAAAGTATAATAGAAATTCTTGATATTTATCTGTTAATAATATTTAATGTTATTCACGATTATAATTGTTACACACATAATATTGAAAAGGTTATCTCTATGGCGTTTTAAAAAGTTAACCCCCTTATTCATAAAAATTAAAACGTCCTATAAATCTATTTTAACTATTAGTGTTTTATCACTATTTTTTTAAATTGAGAATTTAGTGCAAAAGAAAAGGACAAAATACATATAGTTAAAACAGTTTTATAAGAGGTTTGACGTTTTATGAATAAGAGGGTTATATTATAATACAAAACGTTAAGAGTCTTATAGTCTCTTCTAAATTTATAAATAATTCAGGTTCTTTTCCTAAAATAAATTAATATTATTAGATAATTTTTGATACATTATATAATAAATGATTTGCGAAGCATATATGTAATGGACGTTTGACTATATTCGAAAATAATGTGGCACCTCACGCCGATGTGTGGTATTTAAATTAAATTTATAATAACATTAAACATATTATTTACAAAATATAAATCTATAAGCGTCTGGCGCGACACATTCACTCTTCATTGTCCTGCAACATACGTAAGGTAAATATTGTAAACCAAATTAATATCACAGCAAAGAAACGTTGATCGATCAATAAGCGTTCTTGCGGTCCGACGCAGCGTGGCGTGTGGCGTCGTGAACTGAAGCCGTTGGCCATGGCGGCGGTAACGCTAATAAAAATGCGATCTTTAATAAAAACAAAAAATAAAACACTCGAATTTTGGAATTAGCATCGTCTTCAACCGTGTTGATTTGACGGCCCTTCTCCTGGGTCTAATGTAGCAGGTTTTTCTGGTAATGGCCTGTTTAACATTTTACCCGAGGAATTAGATGTATTAGATTTGTTAGATTTTATGGACAAGTGCATAGGGTTCATTGCTGAGCTGCCACCAGCCGTAGTCTTTGATGAGCCATGGTACGGAGATGTAGGACTAGCAGAACTCATTTTTTCACGAACTGCACGAAGGTAAGGACCTCGTGGAATAACTTGTTCGGCAACGACGTCTGGAATGGCACCTAATATGTTCCTTTTCTCCCTATCATTATTCGCAATTTCAGCATATAAATGTACAGCAAAATCTTTTGGCTCAAAATATTCATGGGCCAATGCTGTTTGCCTGTTGTAAGGTGACAAAGGTAATAGCTGGTCCAATGATGGAGTTCTAGTTCCAACACTAATCATCTGTTTCTTATTCTTCCCTATTCTAGGAGTGGTATTTTGAAACGGAAGGTCGTAAATATTTTCTTCTCTTTTTTGTATACGAGTATTTGTATTGCAACTTTCGTCTATTTTAATAAGTTCATATAAATGTTCGATCATTTCACGTGCCTCTACGTAATTTTCTGGGTCTTCTAATTTTAATTTTAAATTTTCTAACAGTTCTTTTGTTAGTTCTTCAGGTATAGTTTGAGTGGTTTTGTCATCCATGTATACTGGCTCTTCGACGTATGTTTCTGGGAGTGCCGTCTCTTGAATCATATCTCGTCTACGTGGTTCATTAAGACGATGTCGCTCTGAATACTCATTTACAGATAATTGTGAAATAGATCTGGCATTGTCAAGGCTATTAGTTCTACCACATACACACAGTCTGTCGCAAAATGTTCCACATGATGAATTTGATGAGATCAAAAAGTTTTTTACGTTTACACAATATCCCTTATGTCTCATCCATTTTATAAAACTTATTAACAAAGCTACAAGTATGCACCCCAAAATAGTCACAATAACAATTCCTATAACTTTTTTATTTCTACCACTTAAACCTTCTTCCTCTGTACCTTTATGTGGAAATCTTGGATTTTTAATTTCGGTATCACTTTTGTATTGTTGACATTTTATAGGATCAGCTTCACACATACCTGTCAGAAATTGTTTAAGTAACATATTTTGGTCGGGAACATTGAAACATCTTGCAGTAAATTCTTCAACAGTACAGTAAGTTTCACTAACATATACTTCCGAGTCACTAACACCAAGAGCATCATCTAACACTTGTGTAATATTACAGTAACAGGGTATACCATAATAATTACCCTTATACACAACTGTATTAGACTGAATTGTTTGTCCTATAAATCCAAGACAGTCTGGATGTATAGTTTCTATTTCGTTGTTACTAAATATTAAATCATGAATGGACGCGCCTGGGGCAATAATAGCATTACTGGGTAGGTCATCAAAGGTATTTCCTTCCATTTGGAGTGTATTCAATGACAAAAATTCCAATCCTCTTTCTTTGAATTTATGAAATTCGTTATTCAACATTATAACTGATACTATAGTCGCACTAATTGCACTTGTCTCGACTTTATCAAACCTGCAATACACAAAAATACAACTTTAGTATAAGAGAATATTATTAAAATGGAATGTACACTATATATATATATATATATATATATATATATATATATATATATATCTGATTTTCTGTTATATTTATCATCATTAAAGTTTTTCATTATTTATTGGAAAGCTTAGGCCTCTGCCAGAATCATATGAAGCAAGCTATTCTTTTCGTCAATATAATTAAAATCTTTCTAGTATATGTTTTTTTTTTTTTTATACAACTTAGAATGGCAAACAAGCTGACGGCCCACCTGATGGAAAGTGGTAACCGTCGCCTATAAACATGATTAGTACCATGGACATAACAGAGTATACTCTTTCGCCCATGATACCCCCCCCCCCCCCTCTGCGTTGCCATTCCTGAAGACTCAGGTGTTATTCCTCTGTACCCAGTAAATTCACGCTATATCCTACCCTTCAAACCGAAACACAGCCGTGCAAACACAACTGCTTCACGGTTGAAACACGAATGGGACAGAGGTACCCAAGCAATCGACTTTTGTACAAAGCTTCTCTCTGATATGTATGCCAATGTTTTCGTATTTTACAAAGAAAAAGTTCTTAAATTATTGGTGGGCACATTGCTTTCATTTATCGTCAAAAGCTATGTAAACTTGTTCTTTTTCGATTGTCCCCAAAAATTGATACTTCCATTTTGTTTCTTTAATCCTTAGCAATTATAATTAGATTGCCAAAATATTCGACATTCAATATTTGATTAATATAATGTAATTATGTCAATTTTCAATAGCACTTTAACTCTTTACATTACAAGTATAATGTAAAAAGAGGTGAATTAGCGGAAATATAATAATAATAAAAACTACCTGCATTGCGATATACGAAGATTAGAAACAGCAGACAATAAAGCTTTTGAAGTTAATTCTTTCACTTTACATCCTATAAAAGTTAGGTAGTCTATCTGTGTCTTTGGGCTAAAGGACTCTTCTTCAATACGTGCAAATGAGCAGTTTATAGCAGTGACGTTGCTATATGTATTTCCAGAGAAAGCTGCAGAGCTGACCACTTCTACATCAACCGACTCCATCGTTATTTTTGCAGCGGAATGTCCAAATGCTTGCCCCGGGATATTGGGTATTGTTACGTTCCTCAACTCGATCTGAAATTTATAAGAATCATAAGTCTTTTGCGCTGGATTTATAAATAGCAGTAAAAGTATTATTTCAATGCGATTTATTAATATAGTTTTCATAATTAATTTCTTCATTCGCTAGGCATAAAACAAAAATTTTGTCGATTTTCAGCATAAGCATATATTTTAAGTGGGAGCATTGCGTAAAACATTAATTAAATATATTAATAGTAAATATTGAACATTTTTTTATGAACTTATAATCTTATCAATTAATTTAAAAGTCGCATACCAACCTTCATATCTGGTCCGTGTTTAGTGTTTGGAACACTAAGGTCGCGCATGAAGGATTGGTCGCTAAGCGTCAGTTCTCCTATGTCGCTGATGTTTATTTCCAGTAACCATGAGAAAGCAGTTCCTTCTAAAGTTGCTCGATAGCAATTTCTGATGTTCACCGTCAATGGTCCTGAAAATAATATTAGACTTGTTTTCAGACTAGGCGAGAGGATAGAATTTGTCCAATAGAATAGTTATGCAAGTATATTTGCTAAAGTTAACCTCTCCTTTCTTAGAGTTGATAAAAATGTCGTTATACTTTTATAAGTAACAATATCAATGTATATTTTGCTTATTTTACTTGGAAACGTTATCATATTTGATACATCATCTGTGTAGATGTATCACATTGTAAGAACTTTCTGTGGCAACGCATCCATTGTACGCACTATCGACTGTTGCGTTGAAATTAAAAATTTAAACAGAACGTTCGTTGTTTTGTAACTGCAACTATAGTGGGGGAACACTTGTCTATTGTCTAAGACATATTCACGCTTTTGTATTACGCTCTCTCGTCTCATGAGTCATTATCCTGTAAAACACGAATGCCGAGTCGGGGAAATGTGTATTTTTAGATGGCTATCCGTGGACGGACGCTCCACTGCCGGCTACCTATGCACTACAAAGATGTCCTCAATATGATAGGAATCAAAATAAAACACATCACATTTTAATTTTTTAATGACGTCATGTATATAGTTGTATATAGTATATGTAGACGTCATGTTGAAGAATAGGATATCTGTGTAGAGAATTATATAAACAAAAATATTAATATTATATATCTATGATAAAAGATATGTTAATAAGATATAACTTTATATAAAGTATGATATAAATTAACAACATAATAAAGTAATATAACGGTGTTTAAGTCCAGTTGAATGGGCGCGGAGAAAAGGTTCGTATGTTGCCCAGTGCTCTTGAGCTTTCGTTGCTTATATTCATGAAGGGCTTTAATATAACCTGCAATTTCCGATAGTTCTCACTTTATTGGTAGCTCTGTCGATCGAAACTGATACCAGTGAAGGAGATGAAACAGGTTCCAATGAGAAATAAGCGGTTCTTCTTTATATTTTAATGTTACATCGATTATTTGTAAGTTTTTATACTTACAATTTTTGTATTGTATGCTATTATGTACATTATTCATTATCCTTTTATTTTATACAGTTTAAAATTATACATTTTTGGAGGTATATCTCGCCATTCGTTAAGTGAGCGTGTGTGTTATTGAGGGAAGGAGGGGAGGGGGGGTCTGAAATAACCTAGAGAATTAGTCATCAAGATGCATTGCAATCGTATTTACCACCACCGACATAAATTCATACACATTTCAGGTGTATCTTGCGTCTTTATAGTCTCTGTTATAAAGTATATAATTGCGTATCATGTCGACCATATCTGTTTACAACGGCGCTATTAAAACAACCGTCCGAATGCAATTAGCTTCTCGGCTGTGATCTGACTATCTAATTATAAGCTCATGTAAAACTTATTGACATTCCTGTTTAGTTGTTTACAACACATTAAGAGCGAACTATATATTTTGTCCTATTAGTTATCCTATCCTACATTTAGTAATAATACTCAAATTGCAATATCAACTTTACATCTATTACAGATGTTTCTCTTAGTGACGTGGCTTGATTTAAAAGATCTTGTTCGATTTGTCTTAATTAGTAGTTAGCTGGCAGAATTTCTGTTGGCCGATTATATTGGTTCAAAGATATTAAAATACGACTATTGCATTGTCTTCAGACTTATATATGTAATGTTGTATGTAAATTAATGGATTGCTGAAAAATTAGATTAATTTTACTGCTTAGGATTTATTATAAATTATATAGAAGGTTCTTATATCCGTGTGATTTCTTTGACTACTCTAAAATAGCTTCTGTATCTGCAAAATGTCATGTACTTAAATTATCTGATTTTTCAATACTAATTAATATAATAGTAAAAATAATTAGGCAGCCGTACTTCTACTGACATATTCACGGAAACAATAATATCATACTAAGTAATATTTTTTGTTTGTCTCCGAAACAACATGCGTCATTGCACAGTGCACAGCTTCTGCCCATATGTCGCGGTTATATTCACCCTTGGATCTTTCGTAGTTATTTATTTATATTTTTCAGTTAGTTTCAATATATTGTTCAATATTTATATAAGTATTTAGATAAATTTTTGCAAAACAATATCATGTAAAAGAGAGAGAGAGAGAGAGAGAAAGAAAGAGAAAGATTTTGGGAGACAAAGACTCCAAGAAACTAAATTAATTGATGTTTTCTTATTAGATTAGAAAGCACAAATTTTTATTAATAGAAGCTTTATTAATAATTATTAATAAAGCTTCTATTTGAACCATTTCACAATACCGTTAATAAACCACAAAATATTTAGTTCGATTTTGTTCTTGGTTTTGAATTAAATTAAAGTTAAAGTGCAAAATATATACGAGATAAACACAATAAATTACTTAAAATAATAATACAACAATGTAAGTACCAAGTGTACGGAGAACTCGAGACAGCACACAGTGCATTCTCACTTCAATTCTGCTCAATACTTTCTATTAACTCTCCGTATCGGATTACTTTGATTTGTTTTATGCGGGCCTTACAATGTCATGGTCTTGTAAGTAGATACTTAATCAGCACGTCGTATGTGGTAGTTTTATTGCTATTAGGAGTTCTTTACATCAATACTTGTCTTATACCCATTGTCTTAATTATGACTGGACTCGTTTTCATATAAACAGGTATTGTATTCGTCAATATACAGGTGATATTGCGCTGTATCTTATTTTTATATAATATCTGAGTTATCCTTTGTATCTCATTGATATATATATATGATACGATAATAGTTATTGGTTGAAATCATAAGATTGATTTACTGGACGTTTGGTATTTGAAAAGGATAATGTTTATTAAGCTCCAATATTTAAATACAGTGGATATACACAAAGAAAACGTTGTTATATTATATAAATAATTGTGGTTCGTCTAGATGAAATTGGACGGCGACTATCCGTTAATCAGACCCGTCCGGTAGTGAGCCATACGTAAACCGGTTGCGAAGATCCGAGTAATCGTATCACTTTTGTGTTCTCTTGAATCATTATTCATTACAAGTCCAATGTAAGTTTGCGATCTTATGTCGTAAGATTACAAATGAATAAAAATAATACGATCGATTGGCACCTTTTTTGTTGATCGGTATATACTTAATCTTTATAAAAAAACTTGTGAATTAACTCGGCTTCGCACGGGTATACAGAATTCTTGAAAATAATATACAGCCTATGTTACTCGCTGATAATGCAGTTTTCTATAAGTGAAAGAATTTTTAAAATGTGTCGAGTAGGTTTTAAGCTTTCCCATTACAAACAAACGTATAAAAATTAAATCTTTCCTCTTTATAATATTAGTATAGGTATTCTCTAAATATTGGAATTAAGAACAATAGGAAATAAGAAAGAAACTCAGCTTCTTCACATTTAATGAAATAAGTTATGTTGTGTTTAAATTTTTTGGGACATAACGCGACGAAATTTTAGGTAAACATCAATAAAAGCAGGTGTGTAGATATAGGTGTTTACTCAAAATCAAGTAAATTATGTTGTCACTTACTTATCGGAAGCAAAAGAAAATCAAAAGCGTCTTCATATCATTGCATACGGTTTGTTTTCCTGTTATATCAAAAAGATAAGATGATACCGTTCGGAGCCGGGATTCAGTAAATTTATTAAAGGGCTCCATGAGAAAAGGTCTGAAAGACTCCAATTACAATCATGTATTCTCGAAACTATAATAAAATACAAGATTCATTTGAGACATCAATGGATACCGAAATGGATATCATCAGGCTTGTCACGTGCTCGGCCTTCAGCAAAGATGCCGGACACCTTTCGTAACTCCTTTTAAATATCACAATATATCTCTACCTTCAAATCACGGAAGCGTACGTGGAATATCTAATAGAAGTGTTGGGTTCAATGTGTTTGATACGTAACATAATTTAGAAATACGACATTACTGATAAAGATTTATATTTCTTTATCATGTCGTGGGTCTTCTTAAGTCGTTAGTCGTATAAGTGATTCTATATACACAATTTCGCATATTAACACTGTAGTATTCATTTCACCCGGTTTAGAATATCTAAAATCGCATTAGCGTATTTTGCATTACAATTAGTATAAAATGTATACGTTAGCTTCAGCGTAACATGTTTTGGTACTCTAACTGTTTCATGTTCTATATGTACAATAGATAATTTATAACCATAGTTTAACAATATAATTTAGAATTGTTCAATATGATGAAACAGGTAGAGTTTTAATATTGTTCATTCGCACTGCTTAGTATTAATAGTATTATTATTAAAAACTAACCTTCAATATGCATAAAGGTATTGGTCTCGATGATAAGTGAATCGCAGTCTTCTATTTCGAGCAGTCCATTCACAAGCTCCAACTTGACGGCTGCCGATTTTTTTAAGATAATCGTCGAGCATTCCAAAAGATGAATCTTCCGTATGTCCTCCAGTTCGCTCAGCGAGTTCGCTTCGAAAGTCAAACTATAGGCTCCGGATATCACCAAGTTCGATGTTTGCTTTGGAATATCACCTTCTTTTACATATAGCACCTGGAACAAAAACGGAAATCGGATGATAGTTTATTTTTTTATATTTAAAATTCTTTTTTTATGCAACTTAGAATAAAAATGAAAAAAAAAAAAGCTAACGATAGCCCACCTGATGGAAATCGGTAACCGTTGCCTATAAACATGAACAGTACTATGGGCATAACATTCGCGTTTTTTCTTAATGATTTTTGTGTATAAAGATAATGATGGATTAAAGCGATGCCGATTCCATAACTCAAAATAAGAAAATCATTCTCATTTCTTCAATCATTATCATTTCAAAAAGTAGAAGAGACAAGGAAACAAAGAATAGGGTTGCTAGTGATTTAACATACTGCATAAAGTTATAATGAACTAAATATACAAATGTAACCTGTACACTATTTGAAAAAGTCATCAAATAATTTCATTCTTTCATGAACCCACTCGTGTAACTGCCACGTCTGCTACTTGTCTTGACAATGTTTTTTGTAACTGCGAGTATACAGAAAAATTCATAATAAATAAACTTCCTTCAGATCACTGTGGTCAAGTTGTTAAGTTTAGCAGTCAAATCAATAAAGTCAACAATAATAAAAAATCAAAAAGACAAATAAATGTTTACAATATTAATAAATACAAAAGCGCGATTAAAAATAAATTGGATTTGCTGTTACAATCTAGTAATAATCCTGATTATCTTTACACCAAGCTAATTAATATTTTATCCGGAGAATATGAACAATTTTTCAAGAAAAAAGAAGTTCATGTTAAATCTAAATTCACGGAATGGGCAACAGTAGGAATACTTAAAAGTAGAAATATTTTGTTTGATTTATACGATCAAAAAAAATATCGATTTGATGACAAATTCACCACTTATGTAAAAAATTATTCTAAAATTTTTAAAAAAGTTTGTATTATGGCTAAGTCTAATTATTTTAATAAACAAATTAAGCAGTCTTCTGACAAAATTAAAACCATCTGGAGCATTATAAATAAAGAAACTGGAAGATCTAAAATAGCCTGTAATCAATTTACATTAAATTATGATAATAAATTAATATCAACAACAAAAGATGTAGTTAATATTTTTGAAGATTTTTTTGCTAATATTCCGATTGATATTACATCTTCTCTGGACTCAACTCAATCTCGAGCAAAAAAATTACTAGAGACTAATATCGGTTGTTGTTCTTTAAGATTTAAATTTTCACATGTTAGCCCCTTTCATATCATAAAAATATTCAAACAGCTAAATTTAAAAAATACGGAAGACCTTTGGGGCATGTCTGTAAAAGTAGTTAGTTCTTTCATAGATATTGTTGCTCCATATCTAGCCACTATTTTTAATAAATGTATTGATAATGGCGTTTTTCCACATTTAATGAAATTTAGCAAATTAATCCCACTATTTAAATCAGGAGATAAATTTGAGCCAGGGAACTATAGACCTATATCTATTTTGCCAGTTCTAAGTAAGGTGTTTGAAAAGATAATGTTAAATCAAATGTTACATCACTTCAGGGTTAACGGACTGCTTCACAGTCAGCAATATGGTTTCACCGCCGGCAAGTCTACCACTGACGCAGGTGTTGCGCTAGTGACACATATTTTCGAATCTTGGGAGAGGTCACAGGATGCACTCGGAGTTTTTTGTGACCTATCAAAGGCATTTGATTGTGTGGATCATAAAACGCTTTTGTACAAGCTCGAACATTATGGTATAAGAGATAATGATCTAAACTTAATGAGAACTTATTTAGAGGATAGGGTTCAAACTGTAGATATTGACGGTGTAAAATCTAAGGGAGCTAATATTAAGATGGGCGTTCCACAAGGGTCAATCTTAGGCCCCTTTCTCTTTTTAATCTACATAAATGACCTTCCCTTTATGGTAGAGAAAATTGCAGATATAGTGCTGTTTGCGGATGATACTTCGTTAGTGTTTAAAATTGGACGTCAAAGTAATCAATTAGACGATGTAAATTGTGCTATGTCTGCAATATTAAATTGGTTTACATGTAATAACCTATTATTAAATTCCAGCAAAACAAAGTGTATAAAATTTACACTTCCTAATGTAAGACTAATAAATACACAGTTATTGCTTAATGATGAAATAGTAAATTTTGTTAATGATACAGTTTTTTTAGGTATAACAGTGGACTCGAAATTACAATGGGGGCCCCATATTTCAAAATTGGCCAGTAGACTCAGTTCTGCTGCATATGCAATTAGAAGAATTAGACAATTAACAGACGTGGCAACGGCTAAACTTGTATATTTTAGTTATTTCCATAGCATAATGTCTTATGGCATACTGCTGTGGGGTAAAGCAGCCGATATAAATACTATATTTGTTTTACAAAAGAGAGCCATACGTTCTATTTATGGTATGGGTTCGAGAGAGTCATTACGTCAGTGCTTTAAAGACTCAAATATCCTCACAGTTACTTCACAATACATTTATGAAAATATTATGTATACACGGAAGAACTTAGAGAGTTTTAAAAAACTCAAAGACTGTACAAGTAGAAACTTACGCAATATAAATAAGCTTATTTTACCTAAATGCCGTCTGCACAAAATCAGTAATTCATTCTATGGTAATTGCATAAGATTTTATAATAAACTGCCGGAATCTGCATTAAATCTGACAGAGAGGCAATTCAAATCTTATATTAAACAATTTTTATGTAAGAAAGCCTATTACAGGATAGACGAATTCATAGATGACAACATATCAAGTAAATAATTAGTTTATTAGCATACAACGTTATAATTTTATTTTCTCATTGCTTTCTTGATTTAATTGATTAATTTTAGAAATATGAAAGCGTAGCGGTTTTTTGTATTAATTGCCGCATGCATTCTTATGTAAAATGTGAATACTATAACTATCAGATGGCAATTGTGAGTAGCTTTGACGTGGTCTAGTGTTTTGAGTAGTCATGCTCACTAAAATGTCCAGACTTGTGGCGGCGTGGTGGGCCGGGTCATTGGGCTCCCTAAAATATGGTCGAGCGCAGTGATGGCTGGCTCATCCGTCATACTCGTGAACGGGTGCTGCTTGTAGGGACTGGTCTGCTCTAATCACTATGACTGATTTCCTCTTATTAATTGTTTAACCAGTTGGTTATGTATTCAATATTTTTTTTTTCTTTTTGAATATTTAATTGAATTAGTGCTAATTGGTGGTTTGTATTCACACAATTAAACTTGAAAATGTAAAGTAATAATAAAATTATTTAAAAGAGCAACACGCAAGTTTCTTGCTCGTTCTTCTTGTGATGAGACAGCTTTCCGAACGAGCGGTAGATTAAAAAAAAAATGTAATGACTTTTCAAAAGTGCTTCAATGTAAGTTTATTTGAATAAATGATTTCTATTCTATTCTATTCCTAAGCCTTGTTTAAATAACTTAACGAGTACTAAGAAATTGGTTGTAAATATTTCTCTTTCAGTTTCAATGACTAAACATTATTATTAAGCCCATGTCTAGTGTTATGAAAATCGACCGTTGTATTTACGTATAATAATAGCCTGTCATCGTTATACAATACTAAGTGGCACAGAGCAACATGTGTATTTACTGATAACAGAATCCCTAGGGCCATTTATACAATTACATATCTTGTTTGGTAACTTTTCATTTAAGTTTACTTTGTCTATTTTATCGTTATTTGGGTTAAATCAATGGTGTAAATTGCGTGTCATTAAACAAGATCGTCTAAATAACTGTCCCGGGTGGTCTATAGAAGGGGAGTCCAAACGGATACGGGTTGTTGATTGAATTACACGAGAAGTGGGGAAAGTGGAAGGGCCAATGGGAACCTATCCTAATTGGCCCTCACGTTGCGAGTTTGGTTGTTTAGATCGATGCAAATTGGAGACGTGACGACACAAATATGCATACATTGATATGTAAAAAACGATATTAATCGAAAATGAAAAGAAACTAAATGCACCGATAAACGACGAGGTGTTTTGTATTTTTGCAATGTGAAAAACAAGCATTTTTGACACTGCAAAAATAAATGGTAGCTTCGATTACATACATACTGTCACGCCTGTCTCCCATTAGGGTAGGCAGAAATATTGGCACGTCAAATGCTTCCATTATGTAATCAAAATTAATATGAAACTAACACGAGAGCAAATCCGAACGATTACATTGTCACTAACAAATTCTGTCGAATTGAGAATCTCGTTTTAGAAGTCGCTTTAAAAGTGAGAGTGCATTGCTTTCCATCAACCCATTGTTTTATACTTCCAGTTCGGCTAGACGTTGAAACCGCCGATATGAATAGTAACAAAGAGTAGTACATTTCCCTTTCTAACCCTGTTATCTAGTGCATGAGCTGTACCAGATAAAATTGGCTTCTTGTATATTAGTATTTGTTTGTTATCGAATACCTATTTATGTGTGTGTCTAATGTGTTCCGTCACTTGCGTCAGATAATGCGAAAGGGTGACTCACATATATTAAGTCAAAACAACGGATATTCTATAATGTTATGTTACTCCTTTCGAAATTATTTTAATAGCCAGTATGTACATTTGTTTAAAAGAATTTAAACATATTATTTCAATCTCGCATAAGATTCATAGGTTGACGTATTAAATTGAATTCGTTTCCGATATATTCGAGTCCGAACAGAGACGCGTAAGACCACAAAAGGAAGACGTAGAGATGACACGTCCGCTCCCACATACGCTATAGCAAATAAAAATAAACGCACAAACAAACGCACACTAGGATACCAATTGGGCGCCATTTTTATATAAGCTTAGTGGAATGAAACATTTTACAGCAAACAATTATTATTGCCGACGGAAAAATTTCCAAAATTTTTGTTTCTGAAAATTATGAAAATTTAAGTTGATTTAAGCAAAATCTGAAGGAATCATTTATATGTCTCTATAAATGAAAAAGTAATAGGAGTTGAAAGTTGCTCTTGGAAAAACAATTTCATTGAATGCGGCGTTCAGCGCGTGACGTCACTGTTCCTATTCCAG